TGTGTGGTGTGTGGTGTGTGGTGCGGGCGGGCGGGCGGGCGGGCGGGCGGGCGGGCGGGCGCGCGCGCGTGCGTGTTTTGGTGCTTTGGTGCCTCGGCAGCCTGGGGCGTCTACACCTCGCCAGGCCCGTGCGCTGGGCTCTCGAGCGAAGGTCATCGCCTGCCGAGCCTGTGCGGAGCCGAGCCGCGGGCAGCGCCCCCGCCGAACTCCCCAGGGTGCAGAGCGAAAGGGCCCCCTCGAGGCCGCGCCCCACCCTAGGCCCCTCAGCCTGGTGCCAAGGGGGGCTGAAAAGCGAGAACACGCGCCGTGCCCAGGCCCCGCCAACGGCGAATGCGGGCCCAGGCACCCCGAGGGACCGCCCCCTCAGGCCCCTCAGCCACGGCGGACACCGCGCCAAGGGGGGCATTGTCTCTACCGCTGGGGCCCTCTCAGAGGCGGAACCCGCACCCCGACGACGGGCAGAGGCGCAACGGCCATCCCAGCAATCCGCGAGGCCATCCACGCAGCTGGCACTCTTGCTGCTGACCCCTCCACGGCCTCAGCCCTCAGCGAGACCGTCACCGCCGCTGGGACGCCCGCTGCAGGACCTCGCACTGCCGCTGGAAGGTGGCCATCTTGTTGTCGAAGGCGGCCTCGGCCAGACGGAGCCGATCCACGGCGGCCCGAAGGCGCACCTTGGCCTCGTCGACGGCGCCCGCCACCCCATTGCGCAGAGCCACGGATAGCTCCTGCGCTCGGAGGGCACGCAACTTGGCCAGGTCCTCCACGAGGCTGGCCTGGGACCGCCGCTGGGCCTCCATCGACTCCTCCATCTTGGCGAGGATCGAGGGGAGAACGAAGTCGTCGTCGTTCGTCGCCTCCTCGCTCTCCTGACCCTGCAGCTCGGCGCCGACGATACTCTCCAAGGGGCCTCCGACGGCCTCCTCGCCCACCGCCGCGCTGAGCTGCGGGAAGGGCGGGACCTCGCCCAGCACCGTGTCCTCCTCGAAGGGGCTCTGGTGCTCCTGCTCGCTCGCGTCCAAGCGCGCCTCGGAGCTGTCCACGACCTGGTCGGTGCCCTTGCACACGTCCACGTCCAGCTCCGCGCCGTCGCCGACGGACCCCTCCAGCATGGTGTCGTCGGCGTGGTCGTCGAAGGGGTTCCCGCCCACCTCCGTGGCCACCGCCGCGCTCGGCACCATGGGCGGAGAGGGCGGGGTCGAGCCGCCGCCGCCCGCTTGCTTGCGTGCGTTCGTGCGTGCGCGTGTCTCTCTCTGTGTGTGCGTGCGCGTGCGAATGGATGTTTATGTCGAGTTGGTTTGGCCAAACATCACCCAGAGATGATATAGAGTCTTTCGTCCGCGCTACCTTTGATAATAAGGATTGGGGAGGAAGGGGGGTAGGAGGGTGAGGGACAAGGGGGATTGAAGGGGGAGGGAGGGGCGGCGGGGGAGAGGATGGAGGAACGAGAGGGGGCGGGGAAGGAGGATGGGAGGGAGGGCGTCGTCGAGAGGGGTGCGTCCGGATAGCCGCCTGAGAGTGTGTCCCAAGGTTTTCCCTTGTGTCTGGGCGGCCAAACTTTTTGGGCGGAAGCTCGGGGATCGGGGAACAAAAATCGCCAGCGACTTCCTGCTCCTCTGAAGTGTGGGTCGAATTAACATCCTCTCTCGCATCCAGCTCGCCGTATCCCGCATGAGACTTCCTGACGGGCTTCGGGGAGGCCAGAGGGGATAAAAGAAAACTCACACACACACACACTGCGCACATAAGGATGATCATTCGAAGGTCCGCGCCATGTTCTTGGATCGGCACTGGGCCCTATGGCTCCCGAAAGCTTAGGTATATCAGGTTATCTTTTCCACGAAAGGAAGCAAAATAAGAGCGAGGAAAGAGGGATAATATCAAGGAGCGCCGAGGGAGAAAAAAGGAACCGCAGAACTCAGATCCCCGACGCAGGGGTGTCTCGCAACGCTGATCCCCAAAGGTCCGGGCCCCTTCCCCAGGGAACCCGCGTTTCCTCCCGAACCGCGTTTCACGGGCCTCCGTTGTCGCTGTAGATGTCGAAGGGGTCCTCGGCCTTCAGTCCACCAGCCGCGGATGGCTGGAGCGATAACGGCTCCGCCTCCTGGAATCCCGCTCCGCCTCCCTGCCCTTCTTGGCCTCCCGCTTCGACTTGTTCTTCTTCTCCCCATTCTCCTCATTGCTCCTGTCCTGCGGCAGCTCGGGGTTCGTGGCGTTCGCGCCGATCCGCTGCGTCGGCATCTCCACCTGCTCCGGGAGAGCCTCCTGCAGCTCCAGGTTCTCCGCCGCTGGCTGGCTCCTGCTGCGAAGCCGCGCCGGCAACGGAGGTGCCACCGGTGTCCGCTGACCAGGCCGTGGAGATGGAGGCGCGGCCGGCTCCATCACGGCGTCCTCGATTACTCAGGGCCAGCATCGGCGCGCGTGATGGCCGCGGCCTCACTTTTGTGGGGGCTGGGTTGGGCTGCCGCCACAGCCGCCCCCACCGCCGCCCCCACCGCCACCGAGACCGCCGCCGAAGTGGCCGCCTCCACTAAATCCAAGACGTACTGGCTGGGCTCCGCCGCACTCGTCGTCCACCTCGATGCGGACGACTCCCGCCATGGTGCGGTCGATCGCCAGCCGCGCCATGGCATGCCAGGCTCGGGGCAGCTGCGCCCCTCTGAAATGCGCTGCCCTCAACGGCCCCCCCTCGGCCGAGGAGGAGGAGGGGGAGGAGGAGGAGGAGGAGGAGGTGGAAGGAGGAGGAGGAGGTGGAAGGAGGAGGGGGCTTCCCCAGCAATGCCAGGGGGGTTCGACACCGGGGGGGGGAGGCGCCACTTTCCCCGAGGGAGCGCCAGCTCCGCCAGGAGATTGTGGCCCAGAGCTCTCCAGGAGCCACCCATAGCCACCCCGAAACGCTCCACAAACAACGCCTCGAGCTTCGATCCTGAGACACCAATTCTCATTAGGAGCGATGGTGGCCCCCCTACAATCGAACCGCTGTTATAAGGAGCCCTCAATGAGGAACGAGGCCACTTGCTACCATGAGTTAAACGTCGATGTCCCATAGGAAACCTAAGGAACACCTAAGCCTATGAGCACTGAGCCCCTCCGCAACAGGAAGGGTTCCTTGTATTCTGCGGCCCAACTGCAACTCGCCATCGGTCGGACGTCCATGCCCAGTGCATGCTTCGGCTTCGCGCGTGCATGTTAGTCGCAGGATACCCCAGGGGGCTCATCGAAGGCCCTCTCCGAGGACAGAATGCACACGTCCGAGCAAAGCCGAATCAAGCTTTGGGAGGCGCGGGTGGCCCCCCTGGTGTCGTGGCGACCCCCTCGGCACCAATCCTCCTCCTCCTCCTCCTCTCCTCTCCTCCTCCTCCTTCCTCCTCCTCCTCTGCCTCCTCCTTCCTCCTCGTCCTCCTCCTCCTCCCCCTCCTCCTCCTCCTCCACCTGCTCCTCCTCCTCCTCCTCCTCCTCCCCCTCGGCACTGCCCGACCGTCGGCGCCCGTGGCCGCCTTGGTCAGCGGGTCCTTGGCCACCTTGATCTTGTCCGACGGAGTCGCGACCTGACCGCGGGCCGCCGCCGCCGCCGCGGGCTCCGGAGCCGCCCCTGGCGCGCTCCGCGCGCCAGGGAGGGGCGCCCAGCGCGGATTCAAGAAATCCTCGCGGAGCGCCAAAAAAATGATGTTTATGGCGATTGTTCCCTCTTCGAGCAGAAGGGTGGTTGCGGGGAGGGGGGGGCCAGGGAGAGCTGTGCAGCAGGAGCCCGACCACAGGAAGCCTTCCCCAAGAAACCCGACCCTGAGACACCAGGAAGTACCCATCAATGTGGTGTGGGGACGTCACGTTTCCATCGTAGAACCATCGGAGCCCAAGGATCCCAGGGCACCCTGGAGGCAAGCAGGGTGTTTCTTGGCATGGGCTTCCACTGTGCGTTTGAAAACGTTGAGAAGGCATCGGGGGGTTTTAAGCTTGGCAGGCCCGAGGGACGGATCTGTTTGATCTCGCACCGTCGCAGGCCCGAGGGAGGGAGGGGCCGAGAGAGAGGTGTTCGCCCGCAACAGTCCGAACAGCCGACACGCTGAAGGAAAGACGTCTGTGGGCTCTGGAAGGGACCCGGTCTTCTTGCCCCTTCCTGGATCTGGGTCAGGGAGCCCCGTCCCGTGGCCGAGGCTCGCCTTGCCAGAAAAAAACAATTCGTTCCTTCTTCAACGCCCTCTTTTGGTACGGCACCTTCGTGTCGTGTCGACCCTGGCGTTGGTTCCTGACACCGCAAAAATCGCTCACACTTGAACGATCGGACGTTCCGTGAAAGTCGGATCGTTCAACGACGGGCCGATTCTGCGCCACGGGCGGCGTTCAACCTTACACGCACGCGGTGGGGTCGCCGCCGGTCGGCAGCAGCCCGAGGTCGGCACACTCTGAGGGAGCACGAGGCTGCACCGAGGTTCGCGAACCCCGGCTGCGCTTCGGTCCAACGGGCGAGGGCCCGCGCTCAGCCGTGCTGTCGCCACGCTCTGGGTGGAGCCCACGAGCAGGTGGGGGCCACGCCCCATGCAGAAGGGAAGGGGCCACGGGAAAGGGGCAGAGAGGGACAAGGGGGGGGCGGGCGCACAACAGAGGAAGAGGAACTCAGCTGTGCCGCTCACCGCAGCCATTTCAGCCACCAGCTGAGTTGTGACATGGTCTAAACACCGGTTCGCTTTCTGTACCACTGCATGAACAGATCGTCGAGGATTCTCTCTGCCTGGATCGTCGAGGAGCCCCCCTCCTCGGAGGAAGATCTTCGCTGCGCAGGCCTGATCTTCCGGAGGCCCGCGCGGCATTCGCGGAGCGGCGACGGGGGTGCCTCCTGCTCGCCGCTCCCGGGCGCGCTCCGGCATGCAGGGAGGGTGGTCCCGGCGCCGATGCACGGAATCCGGGCGGACGTCCGAAAGCTTGTGCTTCCGCAGTTGTTGACGAGCCTCGAACTTGTCACGATCCCTGAGATGGGCGAGCAAAAAGCGAGGACAATCTTAGGGATGTGCCCTGAGAAACTGCGGGAAACCTTCAGATCGGCATCGAGGTGAGGTGATGCCAAAATCAGGGATTGGGATATGTTTCAAACTGGTAAGCTGTTTCTCCTTCGACTACGCTCGGAGGAAGAGATGCCCTGTACCGCGGCCCGCCCCTCGTCGCAACGGTCGAATCCGCCTCAGAAGCCTGGTCAGGACGCACCCCGTGAGAGGTCAAGGAAACAGCGGCATTGGGATCGCAACATCGTGCGCCAACCCTTGACAAGAAGAACGACCACCAACATCAACCACACACCGACAACATACAACGGACACACGCGTGACTCCCGCATGCCCAGGCGATACAACAAGAGCGGCCACCAAGATCGCAAACCAAGAACATGCACAGACGCACCAACAGCAAAACATGCACTAGTAACACATATCAGCAAGTAGAACCTGTCAGTACAAAATCATACCAATCTAAACATCGTACTAAATTAAGCACAGCATGCTTCACACAAACATTACAATCGAACTAGCATGGTATAGTATACCATTCACCACGGCTGTACGTCATTTTCAACCAACCATACCATGCATCAGCACCATACATCTTGAATAACCAGCAGCAACATATGGCCCAACAAGGCAAGAGATACAATACGCTGCCCCTCAAGGGGGCTATCTCGCAACACGGACAGGGAAGATGAAACGCCAGGCTAATGCATAAATATCGCCGAAGCCGTGCAGCGGGCCTGATCAACAGGCTGTCCTGCGAGCGTGGCCGAAACACCGTCGATCGAAGTCAGCCGCGGGTTGAAGAGACCAAAAGCCAACAGTAACCAGCAAAATGTACCAGTACCAGACACGCAGCAATAGGCATCGAACAAATACAGAAAAAACAGCGTGCAAGGCTGCCATCAGGAATGTACAACGATGGCACCGGCATGTAAGCAACACACTTCTGCAGCCTACGCCACTACCACACAGGATCGCAGCATGAGCGTATAACAAAACCATATGCTTCAAGCCAAGAACATACATGCATCACACATACAACTACTGGATATCTCAGATGGGTTACTACGCGAACACTCACACACACACACCGAACACTCATAACATACGAACGCACATCGTCACTCAACATATCGAGCTGCAACATTACACATGATACCGACGAAAAAAAACAATCAGGACTATAGGGCTAGGGGGCTATAGGGCTATAGGGCTATTGAGCTTTTGGGCTATAGAGCTATAGGGCTATAGAGTTGTAGGGCTACAGGGTTATTGGGCTGTGGGGCACCCCCGGGCACCCCCAGGCACCCCCAAGCACGCCTGGGCACCCGGGCACCCAGGCACCCGGGCACCCAGACACACCCGGGCACACCGGGGCACCCCCGGGCACCCGGGCACCCCCGGGCCCCTGGGCATGCGGCGAAAATCGGCGGCAAACCGAATCTAACCATATGAATCCGCTAGGACCCCTACAGAGGCAAGCTCTGATTGGGGAATGAATCCGCTAGGATCCCTACAGAGGCAAGCTCTGATTGGGGAACAACAGGATTCGGAGTCATGTGGAACAACTTGCTGGTGGGGATGGCCGAAGCAAACTATCTCGTTTGAGAAGAACTGATGGCGTACACAACCCAAACACAACACAATGACCATAACGGTGGGCCGATTCAGTAGAAACGGTAGCGCTGCAAGGAACGCAATGCGCTGTTAAAACTAAGGAGGGGCTACACATTGCATACATCACGGTACAGACCTGAGTCAGGCAAACGGAAGCGCCAGCGTTCCTCCTCCTCCTCCTCCCCTCCTCCTCCTCCTCCTCCTCCCCTCCTCTTCAGAGGTAAGCGAATCTGTCGATCCGAAGGATTTCAGCGAAGCATGTATTGGATCAAAACCCCAGAAAACAAAATCCAACTTGGATCCACGTGGGACACTGCTGCGCTAGATCTCCCTGGGGCTCAGGAACATTGCGACGGTTGCGCAGCTGGCAGCGACCCCAAGAAGGCGAGGTCTCACTTGGATCCGCATATAGCACCACTCCACTGGACATCCCAAATGCTCACGAATGTTGCGTGCATATCTCAATCCGCAACGCACTGGGAGGGCAAGGTCTTACACAGATCCGCGTAGGACACCACTCCGCTGGACATCCCAAGGACTCGCCAACATTGGGACATATTCGCAGTTGGCAGCGCGCCAGGTGGGCGGCGTCGCGTAGGACACCACTGCGCTGGATCTCCCAGGGGCTAACGAAAACGGCGACAATTGTGAGTTGGCAGCGCCCCAGGATGGAGAAGTCCCACTTCGATCTGCGTGGGACACCACTCTGCTGGACCTCTCAAGGGCTCACGAAAGACGGCGACAATTATGCTGTTGGCAGCGCCCCGGGATGGCGAGTCTCACCTGGATCCGCTCAGGGCACCACTCCGCTGAACCTACTAGGGTTTACGAAGGAAGACAACACTTCTGCAATTAGCAACACCCCGGGAGGACCAGGTCTCACTTCGATCTTCGTAGGACACCACTCCGCTGGACATCCCATGGGCTGACGAACATTGCGACAATTGTGCAATTGGCAACGCCCATGGAGGCCAGGTCTCGCTATGATTCGCGGAGGACATCACTGCGCTGGACCTGAAAACCGTTGCGCAGTTGGCAGACCCCCGGGAGGCGAGGTAGAAGGCAACTAGAAGGCACGCAGCAGGAAGGGAGAGGAGGTGCCAGGCAGGGTGGAAGAGGAGGCAGGAGGCAGGGACGGGGCGGGAGCAGCAGCGCTTCCTTCAAACCGAGAAACCCAACTGTCAGGATGCTCGGGCACAAAACTGACGACGGCGCAAACCATATGTGCGCCATTCCATACCAACGCTGCCTATGCCGTCCAGAATGGCTGCCAACGTTCGAAGCTATTCGGTCGACGTCCCGGACTACCTGCGCGCGCCATCCTCCATCCGAGCGCTGCCCATGCTGGCCGAAGGACCCTCGAGAGTCCGCCCGATGGCCGTGCTTCGGAGCAGGGCAAATCGAGACGGCGGCAGCTTGACATCGGGCCCCCAGACCCCCGACGGGCCCACGCGCACCACTTGTCTGAGCTGCGTCCAGCCGTGGCGACGCGGGGCCCCCCGAAGGCCCGATCGTTGGCCCCCACTCTGCTCCCGCCCGACGGGGGAGGGCCGTCAGGGACAGTGCCCCCGGAGGGACGGGCGCATGCCTTCGGGAGGTTGAACTTCGGCTTGACCGCGTGCAGCTTGTCGGTCGCGCGCTGGGCGGGCTCGTAGCCCTTGCCCTTCTGCGTCTTGATGTGCAGGAGAACCGGCTTGTTGATGGTACCATCCTGAAAACTTCGGGTCCCCACAAACCATCGTTTGGTGACGGACTGTGCGGTAACCTCGGAATCCCCAACGGACTCACCGCAAGTTCCGTCACCGCATGGTTTTGGGCCCCTGCAGGCCCCAATCGCCCGATTCATCCTCGGAGAACGGCCCAAGTCCCAAAACCGTGCGGTGACCCCGAGTCCCCACTGAATCACCACGCGGTGTGCTCACCACATCGCTTGGGGGCCCACGTCATACGTCTGCGCCCACGCTCACAAGCGAACACCATGTCCATATCCGTGTCCTCGCGGACTGGATACCGAAACGCGATCCCATGGATACGCGATCCAACGGATACGTTCCGCGCGGACCTTCCGCGCAAAGACGCCCCGCATCCGAGGCATCGCGGCCGAGGAGTCCGAATCGCGAGGCCGTGGATGTGGGTGCGACTCCCGCCCAAGACGCGCCAAATTCACGTCGCGATCGCGTGGACACCGTGCTGACCGTCCCATCCTGAACGACGGCAGCTTTCCCGCAACGCGGGTCGCTCAACTTCCGCCGAGTTATTATGTTTAGGACGTTGTTCGTTCCCCTACTCAACCGGCCTTCCTCCGATGGGAATCCCCCCGGCGCAGCTCCGCTCGGCATGGCTTCCTGGACCCCTCCCCGTCCTGGCACGGCTCTCGAGGCGGCTCTGGCCGAGGCGGCGACGAGCCTCAAGACGAACAACACCCAGGGAGGGCCGCCGCTGTCTGGACCGGCCCCTCCCCTGCAAGGACGAAGGAGAGGGAAAGGAGCTGGAGAGGGAGAGGAGGGAGCGGGAGGGTCCACGACTGTGGAAGGTGAGAGACGAGGGTGCGAGGAGAAGGGAGAGCGCAGGAGGGAAAAGGGCGATGGAGGAGGGAGGGAACGGGAGGAGGGAGGAGGGTGCGAGGAGGAGCCAGAGCGCAGGAGGGAAAAGGACGACGGAGTAGGGAGCAAACGGGCGACGAGGGAGAGGGGGAACGGGAAGGCAGAGGAGGGGGACGTGTCGGGCGGGAGGGGGGCTCCCGTCCCTGGGAGGTCCTCGTGGTCCTTCTTGATGTTCTTCAGCACCTGGGTCAAGGTCTCCTGGGGGGGATGCTGCCTAGACACCTCCCATTGGGCCTGGCCGGGCCCCTCCTGGAAGCAGGGCCGTCGGATTCGCCCTTCTCCTCCTCCTCCTCCGCCTCCTGGCCAAGTCTGGAAGGCGCATGCGCCTGCCGTGCGCCCCTGGATGATCCTGGCCACGGTCGGCGTCGGTGGGTGGATTTGGGGCCTGCCGAGTCCATGTTGTGGCCGTCGATGGGTCCGACGTAGTAGAAGCCGAGCTGCTCGAACAGCTCACCCTCGAGAGGAGACAACGAGAGTGGGGAGCGGAGGCCAGAACGAGAGGGATGATGAGGGACCAGACAGGAGAAGGCGGGCAGGGGAGGGGCCAGAATGATGGAGGGATCGAAGATGACTTGGATCATGGTTCTGGCTTGTGTCGAAAGAGGCCAGATTCAGGCCTGGGCGCCTACCAAGGAGTTCAAACTCTCACACAAGAAACAAATATTGCCAGCGAGGATCCCAAACATTAAGCTATTGTACTGTGGATGTGACAAGCTACATGCTGCAAGCTACGTGGTGTAGGCTACGTGGTGTAATCTATGTGGTGCAGGCTATGTGGTGCAGGCTATGTCTGTGGTGCAAGCTACGTGGTTAAAGCTATGTGGTGCAACTTGTGCGGCCGCCCAGCGCATGAGGCTCCCACGACGCGACCACGGTCGGGGACCAGGCGGAACCTCGACCGGTCCACCCGGCGCACGCGGCGCCCACGACGCGCCCCTGGGCGGGCACCAAGCGAAACCTGGGCTGACCCACCCAGCGCACGCGGCGCCCACAGGCGGGCACCAGTGTGCAACAGCTGCGGGGATGGAGGACGGCCAATTTTCAAAATGGGGGGCTTCCGCTCGAGACGTCCTCGACACTCATGACCAGACGCTCAAAAATTGTGCGGCGGGTGCGCAGATGGGGGGCGGCCCTCCCCTCAAGCCCGGGCCGAGCTGCATGATCAAGCACCGTCCGACTCACTCTTACCGTGGAGGCCATGTCCACAAGAAACCTTCCACTGCAACCCAACCCTGAGACCCCAGGACGTCCACGGATTGCTGGTGTGGGAACGCCACGCCTTCCACAGCGAAACCCTCGGCACCCAAGAAACCCCGGGGGCCCCGGAGGCAGGCATGGTGCCTCTTGGCATGGGCCTCGACTGCACTCGCGTGGAAGATGCAGATCGCTCCCGCTCCAGCACGGGACTCTCGCCCGGATGGCAGGCCCGCGGGGTGCTGGTCTTGCAAGGGGGCGCCCCCCTGTAGCGAAGAACAGGGCTTGCGGGGACATGCGAGGGGGAGCCTTCCTGGCGAAGAGCAGGGCTTGGGATGGGAGGGTGTCTTGCAGCGTCGTTGATGCATCTTGAGTTCACCCTGTTCCTCCTCTACATCCCCCTCCTCCTCCTCCTCATTCTCGTCCTCGCACTGTCTCCTCACCATGGTAAGTCGTGGGCGGCAAATTCACTGGGGTCGTCTGAGTGACCTCTTGGCCATGCACGGCTGCCCAGCTGGGGGCTGTGCTCAGACGTCGGGGCAGAGAACCCCCTGAAGGCAGGGCGACCTCCCTAATGCTGACATGAAAGCCACGGCCCTGGGAATGTCCTACCCTTGATGGCTTCCTGGGGGAGACCTGCTGGAGGTGGAAACAATCGCACAAACATAACCATTCAAAGGTCCGCGCGGATTTCTTGGATCGGCGCTGGACCCACCGCCGTCGCCGCCCCCGGTGCGCTTCACGCGCAAGGCAGGGGATCCATGAAATCTGGGAGGAGCTCCGAAGGCATGTGTTCGCGACGATGCTTCTTCTTCTTCTTCTTCTTCGATCCATGGGCACCAGGTCCGTCCAAAGACGACTCGGGATGAAGAGCTGGCCGTGGGAAAAGCCCTCGAGTCTAGGAGCCGTCTCCCGCAAGACCCGTCTCCTGCACGGCGTGCGGTGCTCGTCCGTCACGAGGCCGTGGCGGGCAGGTTGCCGGGCGCATTTCTCTGGCTCTTGATGGCCCTCGCTGGCTGTGCTCGAGCTCACGCCGAGGCCACACTCGCCCCCCAACATTCCGCAGGCCACCCCCTTCCGCCTCTGCGTGCTAGCGTGAAGAAACGGGTCGTGGAAGAACGGGGTCGTCACGGTCTGTCCCCAATGTCGTGCCCCTGGGCACTTCCGCGGGCCCCAGGTGCCGTCAGAGAAGGACTCGGGATGAAGAGCTGGGCCCTCGGGAAGGCCTCAGGCCTGGGGGCCCGTGTCTTGGCGGCGCGCAGAGGGGGGTATGGGGGAGGGGACAAGGCTTCTTAGAATGAGCCTGCTTCTCAGAAGGCACCGGCCCCATATCTACAGAAAAGGCTCGCGCCCTCTCAGAAGCAGGGGTGCCTCTGAGGAGCCTCCCCCCCTCCCCATGCCACCCTCCGCTCGTGGCCGAGCTCCCCTAAGGAACCCATTTCCTTCATGGCGGCTGTGCTCCTCCGTCCTGCAACTGCAATGGCCTCTGCTTCGCTCTGGCCTGGCCTGGACGCATATCAGTCGACCGTCTAGAATACATGTCGGCAAACGCGCTGGTCTCAAAAAGAGCCGCCGAGCCTTGCCGCCGGCGCCGCTGCCCTTGAAGGGTACCGTCTTGACGAAATCGCGGGCGTACCTCGGATCGGCCAGGGGCGCGGCCCGATGTGCTTCTTCTATTCCGGCTCCTCCTCTCGCCATCGCTCGGACGTCCATATCCCGTGCATGCTTCGGCTTCGTGCGTGTATTTTCTCGCAAGATGACCCAAAGTGCTCCTCGACGGTCCTCGCCGAGAAAACATGCACACGTCCGAGCGATGCAACTCCAACCCATCCTCCCCTGCCTTCCTGCCTCCTGCCTCCTCCTCTTCCGTTCTCTTGCCCCGTCCGCTCTCGTCCTCCTCCTCCTCCTTCTCCTCTCCTCATTCCCCCACTCCTCCTCGCTCTTTCCCTGCCCGCCTTCTCCTACTCCCTTCTTCTGTTCCTGCTCCTCCTTCTCCAACTCCAACCCGTCCTCCCCTACCTGCCTGCCTCCTCGTCCGTTCTCTTACCCCTCCTCCTCCTCCTGCTCCTCCTCCTCCTCCGCTCTCCTCATTCTCCTACGGTCGAAACGTGTATCAAGGACGGGTGGTAAGGACGCAAGACCCTTGGAGATCGAACTTGGTTTTTTTTCCCCACATCCAAAGTGGGGTTATTGTTTTCTCTGGACACCCCGCGCAGGAACAGGAACCCACCACCACCATCATCATCATCATCATCATCATCAGCATCACTCATTCCTCACTCACTCACTCACTCATCATCCCTCACACACTCACACACTCACACACTCACTCACTCACTCACTCACTCACTCACTGACTCATCAGCACTCACATATGATAATGATGATGATGATGATGATGATGATGATGATGATGATGATGATTATGATGATGATGATGATGATGAGTGTGCGCGTGAGACAGTGTGAGGATGATCATCATCATCATCATCATCATCATCATCATCATCATCACCATCATCATCATCATCATCATCATCATGATCATCATCATCATCATCACCAGTCAGTCAGTCAGTCAGTCACTCACTCACTCACTCACTCACTCACTCGCCTTGGGCCTCGTCTGTGAGTGAATTGCGAGAAAGTCTCAAGCGGGAGCCCCCTCCCTATGGGGCCCGCGGATCATGTTACTAATCCGAGCGGGTCATCCAATTCTTGTAACTGTCGCCACTTTTGGGCTCTCGCGCTGCCAGAACGCCATTCCCAGGCCACATTTGTGAGTGAATTGCGAGGAAGTCTCAAGCGGGAGCCCCCTCCCTATGGGGCCCGCGGATCATATTATTAATCCGAGCGGGTCATCCAATTCCTTTAACTGTCGCCACTTTTGGGCTCTCGCTCTGCCAGAACGCCATTCCCAGGCCACATTTTGAATGCCCGGAACCAATTGTAGGCCAGTTCGTGTTCTTCGTGCTCCCAGAACACCATTCCCGGGCCACATTTTGAATGCCCGGAGCCGACTGGAAGCCACTTCGTGTTCTTCGTGTTCCCAGAACACCACTACCGGGCCACTTTCTGAATGTCCGGAACCAAAACAGGAGGACGAGGTCGGGGGCAACGCAGGGAGCGGAGGGAGGGTCCGCGCCAAGGCGAGAAGAAATATACGCAGAAGAGACAGCCAGGACGCCTCACCAACCACGAGGACGACGGTGAGGGCCTTTTCCAGATTCGCCCAGAGGATTTTCATGTGGGGTCCTTCCGTCGGAGTATTTTTTGCGGCGGGCAACCAGTGAAAACGGCAGAGGACGAGCCGCAGAGGCAAAGAAATACGGGCACCCAAGTGTGGATGAGGGGGGGTGGCGCGGGAGGAGGAAATGCGGAGGAGAAGACAGGAGGAGGTGGCTGCGTCGATGTCGACCCCGAAGCCAACAGCGAATAGCGAATAGCCAGTGACTGTATGGCCGTGGGGCTGTTGGGCGATCTTAGGCGTCCTCCCATCGTGGGGCGCGGAGGGTGTGCTCGGGTTGCGGGTCTCCCTCCCCCTCTTCCTCTGCACGTGCATGTGTTTTCACTGGTGACGTCTTCACCCTGCTCTGCTCCATCCGTGTAGAGGCTGCGGACCCATCGCCTTGCGACCGACCGACCGACCGATGAGGAGGGAGCAGGAACAACGACGACGATGACGACGACGGCAACGGCGGCGGCGACGGCGACAACGACGACGACGACACCAACGACAACGACGACGACGCCGACGCCGACGCCGATACTCAGGCAGGCGGAGCAGGATCGAAGTGCGACCGGCCTGGGCTTGAACCCAGACGCGCTCGGAGGCCCTCTCGGTGCCCCCTGCGCCCAAGAGGCGGACCCCGCCGCGGCGACGAAAAGCCTCCGGAGGCCGCTGAGCAGGACACGGACCAACTCTCGACCAACTCTCGAGGCAGCCCGCCGCTGTCTCGACTCAGAACTCCAGCCAAGTCGTGATTCTTCCCCGCGTGGACTGCGAACCGCATGTATGTATATGTACATATATATATACATATGTGTGTATAAAGGCTGCATTGGCGCTTCGCGCCATGCACCTTGGTTCTTGAAGTTTGGCATGCAGGCGGAAGGGCAGGAAGGTCAAACAGACGATTTAGCGATAACTCCTCCTTGCCTTTTCTGACACCGCCGTTACAATGATGTCATTCATTATCCTTCCTCCATGTCTCTTTTTCCTCATTCTCGCCATACCCTGCGCATTCTTCCCCATCCTCCTCAGCTCTTTTTGCGGAGGCTCCTCCTTGGAGACCTTCTGGGGGCCTCGCGGAAATTTCCATTTTGAATGCTTTCTCAAGGCTTTCTGGAGGGCCTCCTGGAGGTCTTCTGGGGGCCTCTGGGGCTTCCTCGGGCCACCCTGCCTCCAACCGCGGTCTCCCTGAACGACCGGGTCACAATTTGGAATGCTTCGGACGGTCTCCTGGGGCCATCTTAGGCCATCTTGGAACCCCGTTGTGCCGCCTTGGGGCTCTCTTGTAATACACGGGAAGCCCTCTCTGAGAGTTTTTGGATGATTTGCGGGACTCCCAGGCGGTCTCGGACGCCCGAAGACCGAACAGGACAGCCCCAAAACCACGCAAAAAAACATTGGAGACTCAATGATTTTCCACGTTCTGACTGCTTCTTAGGGGTCTTCTTTGGGTCGTTTTCGGGAGTCTGGTGGGCGTCTGGGGTCTCTTGGGGCCCTCGGGGGGCGTTCGGCCGCCCTCCTGACCGACTTGGGCACGCTGCCCACGCCCAGCAAGGGCTTCCAGGAGCTTTGGAAAGATTGGGGGGGGACCCCGTTCGAGGGTGGGGGTCCCGGGTGATAAGATACATGACGTGAAATCTGTGAACATTTTTATATATATATATATATACAAGGCAGCAATGGCGATTCGCGCCATGCACCTTGGTCCTTAGAGTTTCGCACGCGGGCGGCGTGCGTGCGCGTGCACATGCGCGCTCGAATATGTGCATACACATGTCATACGCGCACACGTGCACGCACGCCATGCACACATATATATATATATATACACATTCGGCAAGCCGGTGTATGTATATATACATATATACATATTTATATATATATATAGATATATGTGTATATATATATGTTTACACACGTGTGGGTATATGATGCACGTACATCTATTTAAACCTGTAACTGTACATGTATATGCACATACTTATATCTATATAGAGGCCCATGATTGAAAACAGACGCGTAACATGTCTACGTGTACGCGGTCGTGGCCACAGAGGGGGGGGCAGAAACGTAGCGAACGGCTCGCGAATGCCGAAAGACTTGGGTTGGAGACGGCATGGAGGACACGGCACAATGTGGAACGGCGATCTGGGCTTATCAATGACTGTGTCTTTGGGACTATGGAGGGAGCTGTGTGAGGGCCTGGGGGGGCCTCGGGACCGTGTCGCAGCGGGGCTCGATGATTTTTCTCAACGCTGAAGTTGTTTTGCGCCGCCGTACGCTCTTTGGAAGCCTCGCGTTCAGAATGTTAACGTCATGTGAAACTTATTGGAGCCTCCCGGAACCTTCTGAGGCCGTGGTGCAATCCCGTTGTGGCTTGGGCCCGTCTTGGGGCGCGTATTGGCTCTGTTGGGCTGTCTTGGGATCTTGGTCGGGCTCCTGGCTCGTTTTGGGCCTGCTTTGGGGGGCCTTTCGGTCGTATTCGAACTTCTGTGGGGTCCTTGCGGGATCTTTTGGGACTCTTGGGGACCTCGACCTCTTGGGGCTTCCTGAGGAGGGCCTCTTGGAGTCGTTTAGGGCCTCTTGGGAACCTCATGTGGTCTCCTGGGACTCTGTCGGGACTTTCTGGGGGCCCTCTTGGGCCGGTTTGGGGCCCTCTTGAGCCGGTTTGGGGCCCTCTTGGAGGTCTGTTGGGCCGTCTTGAAGCGATCTTGGGGGCCTCGTGGGCAGTCTTGGAGCGTCGGGAAGCCGAAAAGGGGGGAACTCCCAAATCCCCGATAAGCCAAGAGAAGAGCAACGAACTGTGCCTCTTGGGGACCTCCTTGGAGTGCTCTGGGAGGCCTCTTGGACGTTTTGGAGCAATCTCGAACTTCTGTGGGGTCCTTGCGGGATCTTTTGGGACAATTGAAAACCTCTTGGGGCTTCCTGGGGGCCTCTTGGGGGCCTCTTGGGGCCTTTTCGGGCCCTCTTGGGAGCCTCCTGGGGCCCAGTCGGGACTGTCTTGGAGCCCTCTTGGGCCGGTTGGGAGCCCTCTTGGAGGTCTGTCAGGCCATGTCAAAGCGATCTTGGGGGCCTCGTGGGCCGTCTTGGAGCGTTTGGAAGCCGAACAGGGGGGAACTCCCAAATCCCCCACAAACCTATGGAAAATCAACGAATTGTGCTTCTTGGGGCCCTCTTGGGAGTGGTCGTGGAAGCCTCTTGGGACGTTTTGAAACAATCCCTTGGGGGTATGACGGCTCCTGGTGGGTCGTCGTCGATCGTCAGCTGGGTCTCTGGGGTCGTTTCGGGAGCGCGCCGGAACGTCGGGGGCCCTCGGGGGCCGTCTTCGGGATCTCGTGAGGTCCTCCCAGGTCGTCCCAGGCCGAAAGGCCCAGGGTGGGCCAAATTCGTTGTGTGTGTGAATG